ACAGGTAGCAGGTAGAATGCTGTTTTGACAATACGGAGGGGAAAACTGGTGAAGGTCTGCAAGGAAGTCCTGGACTTGGGTAAGGAGAAAGGAGCAGGGCCAGTCAGGAGGTACAATCAATGATGCAGTGATTGGTTTGCTGTAAGGGATAAGGGAGAAAGAGAAGTCTAGAATCTAAGTTAGTTGACCAGGTAGTTGGCCCATGCTGTCACCATGAGCATGACAGTAACAGGTTTAGTGGAGTGAGAAGGGAAGGAGATGATGACTTTGTTTTTTTGACTGTGTGAATGTTGAGGTATACCATATCTAAGAGGGCATGTTCACTAGTCAATTGGATGCAAGGTCTGGGACTCTAGAAAGGTCAGTGGATATAAGCTTAGAGATTTATTAGACTGGAAGTAGGTTGGTTTGGGTTGCCAAAAAGAGTGTGTAGACTGAGAAGAGAGAAGAGCAGAGGGCAGAACCCTGGAAAATTCTAAGCCATGGCTAGAGGATCAGAAGCCCACAAAGACACACTGGACAAGTGGGCATAGAGACATGGAGGAAAAAAGCAGTATCGTGACCACGAAGAGAAGACAGTTTCTGAAAGGGAAAGATGTCAGTTGTGTCACACGCCACAAAGAAGTCAAGGTAAGAAAGGAAACTCATTTTCTGGACTTACATGAAGAGAACAACCTTGCCACAAATGCCCTAACAAATTAGTAACTTCTTAAGTTTTCTAGGATGTCTTTATTGCTAAAATAACCTCAGATAGCCATAATTCTTTTATTTACGTTGTGGTTTTATGTTTATTAAAGATAGTTCTATAAGTGAATCTATAATTATTTTAAAATAAAAAGTTGTTTAAAATAGTCCCATAATATAATCCTTTAAAAGAGACTTGGAAATATTTACGTTTTTCCAGTAAACCTCACATTAGCTAACGTAGGATTCACAAACTTGAATATCTACAGGGGCCAGGCAAGGAAAGAGAAGAGTTAAGCAATTTGAATCGGGGGCGGAGTGGGGGTGGCAAACAACTCAAAACCCATATCCTTTCTAAAAAGAGCAGCCAATAGCCAATTCTACTATATTGCCATAAGGGCCAATCTTGCCAGGTCATCTGGTTGAGAAAAGCCAGAAATATGAATTTTTACATAAAATTTCCCAATTTTAAAATGTACCCAGTGAATTTAATTTTTTTCAAAATATTTTGTAAATGTAACAAAATATATCAATACGTCTGAGACGGCTCATGAACCATTTAGTTTTTTTACCTTCGCTCTAGAGTATATATAATATGGCATTTTAATCTTATACATTGAGAAGAAATTAAATTGTAAATAAGAAAGGAGGCTGAGGAGGGAAGATCACTCATAAGCAGTAATACAGTTGGATGCAGAATCTAGTTCTTTTAGTCACCAAACTGTTATGTCTTTCCTCTGCGATTATACAGCTTCTTTACCTAACAAATGAAACATATACACAGGTTAGTCAGACATGCAAGTTAATAATCACAGCATGCTGTAATAAATTTAGGACAGACAGCATAAGCTTTCCACTTAATTAATCCAGATGCTGTCTCTATTGAAATGTTTGTAAGTGGGAGCTCCAGATGAGTCATCAAATCAACTGTCTTTGCCTCAAAAATTCTGCTTTAAAAGTATAGAACACAATTATAGCACGGTTTTGAGCAAAATTATAACTTAGCTAAATAAATATCTTTATATCAAATAACAACATCATGTAGATATTTTAAATTTCTGGAGAAAAGTTTAATTATTGCAGAGCTGATAGAAAGCTGGGCTCCAATTATTAAGACTTTAAGGACTGGCCGCTGTGGCTCACGCCTGTAATCCCAGCACTTTGGGAGGCTGAGACAGGCCAAACACCTGAGGCCAGGAGTTCAAGACCAGTCTGGCCAACATGGTGAAACTCCATCTCTATGAAAAATATAAGAATTAGTTGGGCGTAGTGGTGGTGCCTGTAGTACCAGCTACTGGGGAGGCTGAGGCAGGAGAATCGCTGGAACCTGATGGTGGAGGCTGCAGTGAGCCAAGGTTGTGCCACTGTACTCCAGCCTGGGCGACACAGCGAGGCTCTGTCTCAAACAAAAACAAAAAAAAAACAAAAACATAACTTTAGTACGACTATATCCATCCATTCACTCAACATATATGATGAACCTACAATTTCCTGTTCTCTAGGGATATATTTTCCAGCTCAGGGCATATACATTTAAACTAATCATTTTCAGTAAAACATGGAGTGAGCGCTACAGGAGTACAGAAGGAAGGGGCTAGCATAGCCACTTAACTTCTTTGCCTTTGCTAACAGATCTCTAAAGTGAAGTATGCTGATTTTGCAAAAATCAAAGTCTCAGAGCTAGGGGACTTGGTGGGACACAGACCCATGTATTGTGACTGCAAGTTCACAGCTGAGATACCGTGAACAAAAAGGAATCACTCTTTCGTATTCCTCTGTTTCCCAAGGAGTCAGTGTACTCCTTTGCAAAGCAACTTCACCTATAGAGTCCTAACAAATATTAGCTGTGTTTTCTGATTTAAGCCACTCAACTCAATGCCATGTTTTGTTTTCCTTTTGGGAGTCACCAACTACCTTGGACTTGAAAGACGTCTTCTGTGCAAGGGGAAGCAAATCTTGCTGGCTGGAAGCAGCAGAATCAATCTGGCGCCAGGATCATCTGAATCTAGCAGTCTTTGCACAAACTCTAATCCAAATACAAACCCAGCAGCTTTTACTGCTGAAGTTTAATATTCACAGCAAAACCGCAACGTGACCTCACGTTGCCACTGGGCCCGGCTTGAGCTTTTGCTCATGCTGGGTTTGGGCGATCTAAAACGAGGGATTGGGGGAAATGTTATTTATAGCCAGGGCCAGGAGAAGCCAAAGCCGATAGCGATTGCACTCCAGCGCGGGGCCGCCGCCATGCAAACAGGTCGCACACCGCTCACCTTCACAGTCTGCCCCCGGTCGCCCCCCAGCCTCCTGGCCCTGCGCCAGGACTGGGTGAGAGACCCAAAGCCCGGCGCAAAAGGCCACCACGGCAACTGGGCTCGCGCACCACATGCTGGGCCAGCAGCTTCAATCGCCTCCGCCACCCGCACCCACCGCCCACTGAGGTGCCGAAGCCAGCTGAGTAGAGTGCGAGGTTGGAAAGAATCTGCCGGTAGTTGCCAGGACAAATGACGCATCTGAACTGAGAGTTTCCATTGGCTCTCACGGAAGGGACAGGAAGGGGGCGGAGCGTAGAAGCCTTTTCCCGTCCCTCCCTGGTTGCGCGTGCGCACTATGCAGTTCCGCAGAGCGCAGAGACACGCGCTGAAGCTACTCGCGTACTGCGCGTGAAGAAAGGCAGAACCTTCACGCTGATTGGCGGCGACGCGGGAGGCTGTCGCAGCGGACCGGAAGCAGGGGGCGGGCGGGAACGTGAAGCACCGCGGTGCCTGATGGGGCCGTTGGGCGGCTAGTAGCTGTTGCTGTTGGGGGACCCCTTCATTCCTACCGCCGCCGTCCCTGCTGCCTCATGGCGGCCATCGGAGTTCACCTGGGCTGCACCTCAGCCTGTGTGGCCGTCTATAAGGTGAGGGGCTGTGGAGCTGGGCTAGGGCTTCATGACGGCCACCCGGTTCTCTGGCGCGGGCTCATCCACAGGCTTGAGAGCGGCGTGTCGCCGGCCTAGGGATGTCGTCGAGTGGCGTTGCTGCGAGGACACTCCGGGGCGAAGGGCCGGGCGGGCCAGGCCTAGCTCCTGGCGACTCTTTCAGAAAGTTATCTGCTCCGCGGCGGAAGCTCGCGGCGACTTAGACGCGCAGGGTTCCAGGGGCGTCATGGCGGCGGGATGCCCAGAGGGGTCCCGGGGACAACGGAGCTGCAGGGTGCCCGGGGGGTCTCGGAGAGGGCGGGGCCGCTGGGTGTCCGGGGATGGGTCCCGGGGACGTCCTGGCATCTGAATGCCGGAAGGGTCTCGCTGACGTCAGGGCCTCAGGATTCCCTTGGGTGGGAGGTTCTCGGAAAGTGGCCGCGAGGTACTTGGAGGCGGTGGTCTTTGGGACAGCAGGGCCGCAGGACGCGCTGAGCTGGGCCCGAACGTCTAGGTCCCGGAGGGGCGGGGAGGCTGCTGTCGAGTTGGAGCTGATGGTCCTGCAACGCTGCCTGGCTGTGAAGCCAGTTGATTGTGCGTGCTCTACAGAGGTGGCCTTTCTGGAAGTGACAGCTTGACAGGACTTGTGGCCTTTCTCTCCTCAGTGGGGAGGCAGAAGGAACGATAATCATGAACTCCGTTGCCACTAGTTCCGCGTTTAAATGTCAAATGACTTGTTAGGAAAAGCCAAAGGGAATAATGCTACTTCATTTGTAGAAATAGGAAGAAAGGGGCCCAGCGCGGTGGCTTACGCCTGTAATTCCAGCACTTTGGGAAGCCGAAGCAGGCGGATCATGTGAGGTCAGGAGTTCGAGACCAGCCTGGCCAACATGGTGAAACCCCGCCTCTACTAAAAATACAAAAAAATTATCCGGGCTCGCCTGTAATCCCTGCTGCTCAGAAGGCTGAGGCATGAGAATCGCTTGAACCGGGAAGGGGGAGATTGCAGTGAGCCGAGATCCGCCACTGTAGTGTACACTCCAGCCTGGGCCACAGAGCAAGACATCTCCAAAAAAAAAAAAAAAGAAAAAGAAATGGAAATGGTAAGAAAGAAGTAGGAAAGGTAACGTAATAATAGGCTTCGTTTTGTGTGTAGAAAGGTTGTTACTATTTTTGATTCAATTGTTGACTTTGCAGAGCAGACTGAAAACATGAGGCAGTTGTTCATGGAGTTATAGGCCTTCTATGAAAACGAGGAAATGAAATGGTAATGAAATTTGCCAGTTTAAAATATTGAGAAAGCAGTTTTTCTTTCCACACAGATGGCAAAGTAACACTGGTGCACACATGTCTGAATACGCCTAATGAGACTATTTCGTGTTTTTTTCTCTAGGATGGCCGGGCTGGTGTGGTTGCAAATGATGCTGGTGACCGAGTTACTCCAGCTGTTGTTGCTTACTCAGAAAATGAAGAGGTACTAGTCCCCTCATTTTTGTACTTGTGAAATAATTTAAAATTACATGCATTGTAATATATATATATATATTTTTCAGATTGTTGGATTGGCAGCAAAACAAAGTAGAATAAGAAATATTTCAAATACAGTAATGAAAGTAAAGCAGATCCTGGGCAGAAGGTATGGAATCAAATGATACTTTTAAATATAGTAATAGAAACATGTTCATAAATTCTAAGCATAATGTGAAACTAGAAACAGCATAGTTTGTTTCTTCATTTTATGACTGAGTCATTAGAGAGTACCCCCAGTAGGCTGTGTCTTTTGATTATTAGTGTTGGATCTTCTCCAGTATGGGATTCACTCAGATGTTAGTTTCTTGCTGACAGGTCTGTTAGTATTGATAAATGCTAACATTCATTTAATTTTGGTAATTTGTGTCAGAGGTGGTAATTTGGATTGTTCACATTTTTAGATTTTTTTTTAACTGAGAGGATTTCAAAGATTTTGTGGGAATTTGAAGACTTCTCGATAATGTGGTTGAATTTTGCTGAATCTATTACAATTGTTCATAATCGATGTAGACACTATTGATTTTCTTCCTCATGATCTTTTGTGACACTTTCTGGGAACTAACTTTTCCATTGGACTTACAAATTTAATCATTAGAGTAACAGCTAAATTAACATCTTATGTAAGAATCAGATTAATCATCTGTTGTAACTTTAATTAGAAGATTAAAAGAGGCTTGCTTCCCCAGACTTCTGTCTCCTGAAATTATAGATTGCTGTAATAATTAGGGGTTTTCATTTTCACTACTGTAGTAATACTTGATAGAGTGTTTTTAAATTTTCAAAGTGCTTTCACATCTATTATTTTATTTAATCCTCTCAACATCCTTGTAAAATTGTCAAGGCAAATACTATCATTCCCTATTTATAGATGAGAAAATCAAGGTACAAAGAAATTTTTATCTTAGGTTAGGGGGTAAACTGGATAAGACTGCAGATCAGGTCTCCTCACCCTCTGCCCCAGGTTCTTTTCTTTCAACTTTGTTTAGTGAGAATGTAAGTAAAAATGTCCTTGTGTTGATTTAGAATTTGGATATTATAGATTAAATTTATACAGGTATCTCTTACCTGTTTATCTTATTTTGTATCTCTTACCTGTGTTCAATTAAATTGAACTTGATATTAATCTTTTTCCTTAGGATATTTATGCACTAAGCCAAAAACTATAGTTGTTTGGAGATAATTCAATATTTGGTGACAATAAACATATCCCCATATCCTTTTACCTGTTGACAAAGTACTGAGCATATTAAATATAAGTTGGTGTCAAATATTTTCAAATCATAAAGTGTAGAAAAAAGAATTGTAGATGGGTCTTGAAGCCTGAATCACTGAGCAGCCAACAATATATTTGTTTGTTTTTTTAAATTAAACTTTTTATTTAGAGAGAATTGAAGTTTCCTATGCTGCTGTGTAAGAAATAATACAGAAATGTCAAGCACATGACTGGATTCACCACCTCTCCCCTTGGTTACATCTTGCAAAACTATAGTACAGTGTCACAACCAAGATGCTCACATTGATACAGTCCAGATACAGTATATTTCCATAGATCTCTGCTCTGGTAGCCAACAATATGTTACCGTTTGTTTTATGCTGCTGTTTGGGGGCAGATGGTTACGGTAATTATGTGGCTTTCTTCTGCCATATTGTACAAAACTTTGTATTAGCAGAGCAACTTAAACTCACTTTTCTGGCCCATAGTGACAGTCAGATGGGTAACACAGAGCCACAGTGTGCTATGATTAGTGAAGACTGAGCATCTTTCAGATTGCTATACCATGGTCATGCTTGGACTCTAGAGTTAGCTGCCTCGTGGTCCAGGTGATTTTCCCTCCCAGCCCATCTGCTCACCAGACAAGGGTGATTTTTACAGATCCATTGTTGTACCAACTCTCAGCCACGAAAGCATTTGGCCCTTTTGTTACCAAGCCATTAGGTCCTTGGTGCAGTGTCTACCCTGGGTGAACTCCCGAAGTTGGGCTGTCTCAGTCTTGGCCTCATGCCTGTTTATGACCTACTAACAGGTAGCATCACTTAACTTGCTGCCAAAATTATCCTTACACCCTTCCTGTAACTCTCATTCCCCTGTGGCCTTCCAGCCAGAAATGCGGTCCTTGGACCTGGCTTCTCAGCAATTATCCCTGAGAGGGAAGATCCTGGAGATATCCTGAGAGCACACAGAGCTTCCCCACACCTTCAGACTTGCACCTTGCTGTCCAGAAGCTGCCCAGCCCTCCTTTCCAACCCACAATGGCCAGTGCCAATAGCAGTGCGGGCATCCGGTGGTCCAGACAGGAGACACGAACTCTTCTCTCCATACTAGGCGAGGCAGAGTATATTCAGCGCCTCCAGACTGTGCATCACAATGCAGATGTCTATCAGGCTGTGTCTAAGCGAATGCAGCAGGAGGGCTTCCGCCGCACCGAACGTCAGTGCCGTTCCAAGTTTAAAGTTCTGAAGGCATTATATTTAAAGGCCTATGTTGCCCATGCCACAAGTATGGGTGAGCCACCACACTGTCCATTTTATGATACGTTGGATCAGCTTCTCCGAAATCAGATAGTGACTGACCCAGACAACTTAATGGAGGATGCTGCTTGGGCCAAGCACTGTGATCAGAATTTAGTGGCCTCTGACGCCCCAGGGGAAGAGGGAACCAGCATTCTAAAATCAAAAAGGACTCAGGCAGCTGATCATCAGCCTATGTTGAAAACAGTTAAGGAATCAGATGAGGATTGTCAGCTAAGAATCAGTGACCGGATACAAGAAACCAGTGACCTCGAGGACTCCTGGGATGAATCCTCGGGTGCAGGTAACTCCTAAGCATGTGAAGGATTCGGGTCCCAGAGTCACATGGCTCTAAACAGCTGTGTCTGTTTGGATAGTGTCCTCTTCAGCATAGTTCCTGTTTCTGCCTCATTCTGCCCCATGTACCTTTTTAAAAACCTAATAGTAAGCTAAAGGGTTCCAGGTTTTCAAAAGCTATGCCCATGGCAACATAAGGTATTAGAACTCTTTAAACCTAGAAGAAGTGCTCTCTAGAACCAAACTAGTTCTGGCATTATTAATAATGGGTAGTTAGGAATGTGTAGGTCTAGAGTGGGTTGGATAGCTGTGTACAAAGGGGTTCAGGAAGGCAAGGGAGAAGTTTTAGAGGTGAAATTAAACAGGTCACAATGTCCAGATTAAGGAAATGGATTCTTCCCAGTCCCTGGTGGAAAGAGGCTTTCCAGGAACAACCATAGGTTTATAATTTGTCTCAGCTCTGCTGCTGGCTCCAAGCATTCCCTTAGCAGGAATGTTCTCTTTGCAACATTGTTGCTTTGTTTTTCAGGGTGCTCTCAAGGGACCCCCAGCTACAGCAGCTCCCACAGCCTTTACAGAGGTGCAGTTGCTCCCTGTCAGAGCAGCCCCATGGCCAGACTGGGTGTGTCTGGGGAGCCCAGCCCCTGCACCAGCACCAGCCGCAGCACTCCTGGGGTAGCCTCCACACCGCAGACTCCAGTCTCCTCTTCGAGAGCTGGTTTTGTTTCTGGTGGGGATAGGCCCTTGACCAGTGAGCCCCCTCCAAGGTGGGCAAGGCGAAGAAGGCGGTCAGTGGCCAGGACTATTGCAGCCGAGTTGGCAGAAAACAGGCGATTGGCACGAGAACTCTCAAAGCGGGAGGAAGAAAAACTGGACAGGCTGATTGCTATTGGTGAGGAGGCCAGTGCTCAGCAAGACACTGCCAATGAGCTCCGCAGGGATGCTGTCATCGCAGTCAGACGTTTGGCAACAGCAGTGGAAGAGGCAACTGGTGCTTTTCAGCTAGGCCTTGAAAAATTGCTTCAGAGGTTGATTTCGAATACCAAAAGCTAGGAACCAATTATAAAAGGCTCTGTTTCCTAAACTGGTAGAAGTCTATTTTCCAAACCTGCCTTCTAAATCCCTGGCTCCTTTTCTATGTCCTCAGAAAAAAACATGGATGAACCATGTATATCCAGAAAGTACAAATATAATTGCTAATTCATTTTCCCAAGATTCTCCACCAAATGGAAGACCTTTCAGAAATGCCAGGGGTGGCCTAATAGAAAACAATGGAGCCATGTTCTAGAGAGCTGGTTCATCGTAGCTTTGTCACAGATGTGAAGCAGTTTACTTTACCTCTCTCCAGCGGTTCCCTCATCTGTAAAATGGGGATCAATAATAACTCCTGCCCTGCCTACCTCACAGGGTTGTTGTGAGGATCACATGGTTCATAGATGTGAAAGAGTTTAAAAGTTTAAAAGCACTGTACACATTTAAGTTATTAATGCATATGGCCTTGGCTGAGGTAAGGCACATTAGTTTACAAGATACAGGAGTATGGATGTATACTGTGACTTCATTGCTTGAATCTTTCTTTTGCTGGTCTAACTTGACTGCTTCATGGAGTTTGAAATCTTAATTTTTAAATTCCTTGTGTGGCTCATTAGACTAGTATAAGCACAACCTGTATTTGTACCTTAATCTCTTGTTTCCACTACTGTGTCTCTGACATATCTACTAGTAAGCACTCTTGTCAAACTGTCTTTCTAGCCTTCATTTTACTGGTTCTTAGTCTCTTATCAATATAAGGAAATAAGTGCCAGGGAGCCACCATAGTGTGTTATGGTTTACATCGATAATCTTCAATATAAAATATTGGCCATTTTATAAAATATTAAATGTATGTAAATTCTTTGCATTTCATATTACTTGGGTCCCTTGATATGCCTAAATTACATCTTGAAGTTTCGGTTGCCATTAGAACATTGTGGAAACAATTCAGATATCAGTTTCCAATCTGCTTTTTAGCTGTTTTCATTCTTTTCTGTTATTTTTTTGTCTAGTATGTTATACAGGGCAAGCCCTAGAAAACTTTTCTTTTGAGGAGCTTTCCAAGATTCCTTTTTCTCAGATGTTGTAGACAGAAGTTTATGTAGTTAATGGCATCTGGTGGAAGAGAACAGCTTTGTTTCCCTTTTAACTTTGGGAACAGTAGAGGATGGTGTGGATAAAGATTGCCTGCAATAGATGACTCCTTTTAAGCACTAGCCCTGAACAGATGAGCCTCCTCCCAACCTCAGACACACACTTTGGGAGAGATGAAGGTGATAAGCCACACTTCCGATTTACTCTAGAAGGGAAGACATTAATCTCTGTCATTAAACTAACTTAAAGCTTTTAGTGGTTTACTTAGTACTTTTAGGAATACAAATAGGAATCTTTGGGATATAAAAAGTTTTCCCATAATCTAGAAGTTGGAAAAAAAGAAAAAACAAAGAGTGGGCATGTTGGGGGAGGTTTTATTTTCTATTTTGCAGCCTCAAGTGCTTAGCTGAATGCTGGAAATGCACATGTGTGGAGAAATGGTCAGAGCAGCAGTGGGAACGTACCCAGAACCATGAGTAGACAGCAAGCAAGCTGCTCTGCCAAGCCAGGGGTGGAGGTGTGAGGCAGCTGGTGTGGTAGAATATGCTGGAATCTAGTTAGAATTCCTGGATTCAAATCCTGTCACAGTTTGTTTCATCAGACAAATCATTTGCCCTTTTCTATTATTACTATTTTTTATGTTTTTGAGACAGTCTCACTGTTTTGCCCAGGCTGGAGTGCAGTGGTGCAATCTTGGCTCACTGCAACCTCTGCCTCCCAGGTTCAAGCGATTCTCCTGCCTCAGCCTCCCAAGTAGCCGGGATTACAGGCGTGAGCCACTGTGCCCATCTAATTCATGCCTCAATTTCTTCATCTCCAGATTGAGGGATTTGTACTAGATTTTTTTTTTTCTAGTACCTTTCAGCTCTAAAAAATTTTGAAATAGCATAATAAAAGGCAAAAAGAAAATGAAATTTTAATTGTAATATTTTCTGTCACAGCAGCATATGTATATTTGAAATACTGGTAACAATTGTAAGGTAGCATTCTCTGGTATTAATATTTATTAATATGCTCATGAACTTCTAAGCACCACACCAGACATACAGACTCTTTGCTTTAAAAGAGCATATACTTAAGGCATTGAAATGGATACAGCTATATTCATTGTCTCAATTGTCTTAGGCTATTATATGGAAAGATATATGTCAATTATAGGTAGGTAGGTAGATTTTCTGAAAAAACAAGTACTTGACGGAGAGTTAGGCCTGTATTCTATAAATCTATTAATGGTAGCAAAGTGCATAAGACAGGGATTTCTTTGAGATGAAAGGAGTGCTGAGGAAGAGAAGTGGAATTGATATTTGGATGTAGTATTGTGAAATTCAATGGGTAAAGTAACCCTAATGTGGGAATAAAAGTCAAGGGAAAGGTTTTGAATAAGTACACAGGAAAAGAGGCTAAAATTATTAAGGGGAGGAAAACTGCAATACAGGGAGACAGTGTGTAAGGAAGCAAGCCAGGAATCTGCCTATGTGGTAGACCCAACCATTACTACCTGAACCCCCTTAGAAAAGCGTTTCCAGCATTCCATAACTCAGGTTCCTCATTTATAGAGTGGGAAACTCATAATTGTCCTACCTACCTCACAGGGGTGTTGTGAGGATCAAAGGAACAGATGAATGTAAGAGCACTTTCAGATGTGTAAGGCACTGTCATGTAACAAGTGGGGGAAAGACTCGAGCACATTAGTGCTGGTGTGTGCCAAGCCTGTGGGCTGTTGACCATAAGGGATATTTAAGAAGAAGGAGGAAGAGAAGATGGCATTGCTAATAAAGGTTGTGAGACACAACCATAGGATTAACTGCCTCCTCAAGTCCATCGTGTAAATAAGGTGCTACGTATACCAACTTCCCACCACCTTTGTTTTTCTGTTCAGTAATCCTGGTGTGGACAAATAAAGTTTTCACTTGTATGTAGTTACGGATCAGTCCACTACTTTGTGATGATGTCTGTGGTTCTTTGTTGCCTCCATTCTTTGCTTTCTCCTCTGCTAAGTGTCTTGCCTGTCTGCGGCCCATGGAGCTATATGTGCTTTCTGTCTTCAGAGGACAGTGGCCCTCTTTATACGGCAGTTGAGAAATAATTTTCCATTTCTAAGAGTTCTGCAAATTCTGTAAAATATCTTTCCTGGCAAATTATCTTGTCTGGGTGGTAGACAGCCTACACATAACAGTATAAATTTTTCTGGTTGACTTAAATTCTAAAGAAAACAGAACTAGAAAGTGTCATGCTGAAATTCTAATATTGGTGCAGAACCCACCATGAGCACACTTTATCTTTTTTTCCTACTCCTACAGTGTTTGGCATATAGTTAATATTAAATACTGAGTTTAGGAAAAGGAAGAAGCAAAGAGTTTAATGGAAAGAATACTAAACTTTGTATTGAAGGTCTGGGTGCCAGCCAGTTATGCCATTAATTAGCTGTGTGACTTTGGGCAAGCTAGTTAGTTATCTCCTGTCCTATTGATATTTTAGGTGATAGAGAAGGAAGTATGAGGAACCTGAAAGTATTCCAGAGTCCAAAGCCAAATTAGTCCATTTTAAACCCCTTTTGTCTGCCTCTTAACAAGTTAAGGTCTCCAGATGCTCTGTAACCCTTCAGCAATTAGCCACTATTAATTTTCAACTTATCTTATTAAACAAATAGAAGTCACAGCTCCTTGGAAGAAGGGTTTAATGGAAGGATACTAGTCTATTTTATCTTAATTTCTAGATGACATTAAGCCAAGAATCAGATTTCTATCCCTGCTCAAGGGACAGAAGTACTGTGATCATTTACAAGATGAGTGGGAGGCAGCCTGGTAAAGTATGAATAATAGTAGTCTGATAGAGAAGACCTGGGCTCATGTACTGACTCTGCCCCTTGTTATCTTATAAGTTATTGCCCCTCTCTGAAGCTCTTTTTCTCTAAAATAATACCTGCCAAGCCCACCCAATTAGGTGTCGTGAGGATAAATTGAGATAATGTACATGAAAACATTTTGTAGTCTGCATAAGTTGCTTAAATCTGTTTATATATGCATATCTATAGTACTCTGCACCTTTCTATAAACAACATTCATAGTTTGCTCAACCTTTTGGTTTCTGGAGTTGGTGTGTGTTCAGAAACCAAGCAACAAAAGATGGTCTTAGCTACTTTGGTTTGCCCTTAGTTTGCAACTTTCTCATCTCAGTGGTTAGGTCTTCAGAATCACAGGTGTGAAACTATGATATAAAATCATGGATATTATAAAAAGTCACCTCAAAATATATAGCATCTATTAATAGCAAGGCCAGAATACAAAAGCTATTTATTTTCAGATGCAAAGATCAGTACTTTAGTAGAATTACTATAACCCTTATAAATACTCCATTTCTATCTTCTGTAATATTTGAAGACTTAGTGTTAAGCAGCTTAATAACTTTGTTAATATTTTAATATTTGTTCAGTGATATTGAGAAATATAGTCTTCTTTAAACTTTATATATCTACAATACTTATTTTAATACTTAGCTATCTTTATCTTTCTTTATGGACAGCTCCAATGATCCGCAAGCTCAGAAATACATCACGGAAAGTAAATGTTTAGTGAGTATGGTTCTATTATTGCTTCCCTGTTACACGGAGTAATTACCAAGGTCATAACATGTAATGTTGATTTGAAACTTTGCATTTTTATTAAAATTTATTTAGCATAATTATACTTTATTTTATAGGTCATTGAAAAAAATGGGAAATTACGATTTGAAATAGATACTGGAGAAGAAACAAGATTTGTTAACCCAGAAGATGTTGTCAGACTGATATTTAGTAAAATGAAAGGTATTTAGCAAAAGATATCTAATAGTTACCTTTAATAATCTTTTGAAAGTTGACCTTAAAAAAGAAAAGTTAGAGGTATTTTTAGATCCTGGGAGAAACAGAGTGATTGAACGGATAAGTAAGGACATATAAACTGTAGACCTGGTTGGGGCACTAATTGACTATGTGCCCTTGATGACTTGCCTTCCCTGACTTTGATTTCCCTATAAGTCATATAAATGGATTAGGCCAAATAAGAGTTCAAAACCTATTTAGTGGCCAAGTAAGCTTGGTGAATAGTGGCACTTCAAGATTGACAGTATTCTGTGAATAATAATTTAGGCAGATTAAGTAGGTCTGCTTTTATTAGCAGTTCAGAGAAAGGCTCTGAGCCGAGTGGTATTCTGTCGAACAATTTGGGAAATTCTGGAATAGATTGTTTATAAGGCTCCCTTCAGCCCTGTAATGATGTTAAGAACTTGGGGGATGGAAGGCAGTCTTTAAATGTAGAGAACTAACATTATGACATTGTGTCTTCACACATATGCGTTAGGAGCTTATTCTCCATGGAGTCCGTCTAATTTAGAAGATGGTTGATACTGAAGCCTAAGAGCCAGGGTCTTTGGAAAGCTGATTCTGTGTCCAAAAGATATCACCAAAACCACCAGAAGTGCTGCATGATTTAAGAGCGCAGAGAAGAAAATTGACATGGGGGCAAGCAAGTGAATTGGGAAATATGTTTAGTGGGATCTTTGTCATAAATTAATAAACCTCAGAAAGTATCACTTGTCATTTTTTTCTGTCATCAGAATTTTATATTTTTTAATATGCAGAAACGGCACATTCTGTATTGGGCTCAGATGCAAATGATGTAGTTATTACTGTCCCATTTGATTTCGGAGAAAAGCAAAAAAATGCTCTTGGGTAAGTATATGGGGTTTATCTTACTGGCTTAATTAAAGGAAATACAAAATCACTATATAGTAAAAGCTAACATTA